ATATATTTTTGTTTTTTTTTTTTTTTTTTTTTTTTTTTGCTACAAGGGTGAAGGACCACCGCTTGTTGAATTAGGAATTTTTGGATCATAATATCCTATATGCTTTTGTATTTATGTTTATACATATATATTTCAATGTATAATTCTTAGTGGATTCCTTGGTATGAATGGTGTGAGATCCCGGAGAACGAAACACCCTTTATAAGGGTGTGAAAAACTCTCTCTAGCAGACGCGTTTTAAAAACCTTGAGAGAAAGTACAAAGAGAAAAATATCTGCTAGTGATAAACTTGGGTCATTATAAACGGAACTAAAGCTAAACCCATATTTAAGATTTCTTAATTTCGTATGCATCGTTAAAGAAAAGCCCTTTTTGAAGATGAGAAACCCTAGGCAAAGTGTATGCAATTTTTGTTATTTCTTAGCGATTAATTATCAATTTTATTATTTTGCTACAGTTTGGTACGAAGGAGTAAGAGGATATGAACTTCCGACCTTAAAAGAGATAATACATGTCAATTATCGTTGAGGTATACCGACTTTAATTTTGATAAAATCTTTATGAACTAAATCTTTCCGACTCAACTAGTTTAAACGTTAATAAATAGAAGAAAAAAAAGGTAGTTAGTATATGAAATTATAAGGTATAAAGTTATAAAGGGGAGAGAAAATGAAAGCATAGGATTCTTGAATGAATGAAAAGAATCTTGATGGGCAAAGAAGGGTATAAGTCAAGGGCTTCTTTTTGGCTAACCAAAAGCCAAAACAGAGAGATGCTGTTTCATACCTTATTAATAATTTATGTACCGATCCATATCTGATAGATTATCTCCAAACTTTTTAGTGATACTTTTAAAAATTTATCAGCATCTTTCAAAGCACGACTTGGTACGAAGTTTTTTAAAAGATATTTTTTTAATAATTTATGTAAAAAAAATATAAAAGGGGGAGAGAGAGAGTAAAGAGATAAGCATTAAGAGCCATGCAAGAATGTGATAATTAGGGTATGATAAGAAAAGGTGGATCCTATATATTGGAGGGAACTTTATGGTAAAATAATTATATAAAGAATTAATTAGTGGGTTATGTGAGAGATTGTCACCTTTTCTAATATAAATTTAAAAAATGAATGGTATTATATAGTGGGGAGTGAAGGAACCACTTTAGTAAAAGGGTTCACCAAACAACACTCAATCATACATTAATTCGACTTTAATTCAGTCGGTAATACTAAATATTCAATCGACCGAAATGCTTAAGTTGATGTTACAGTAAAAATCAATATTAATTAGAGAGAAATGACATTACACCGATATAAACATAAGAAACAACATCAATTACTAGCTAAAAACGAGTAGTTTGAATTAATAATTGAACGAAGAACGAAGAACGAAGAACGAAGAAGGAATATATGTAATTAAGAATGAAGGGCCCTCAATATTTTCCCAGTTCCGAAGTGATAAAAAGTTTGAAAAGAGACAGTAAAGGTTTGGGTTTTGAAGAAAATGATGAAGATGAGAATAGACAAACATACCATTCTCTGTTATAAATGTTTGCCACTTACTATAATGTTCTCACTTTTATTTATTTATCTATTTGTCCCTTTTTGGTGTGTGTTTGTTTGGTCCATGTGAGAGTGTGGGGATATACTGAGAGTAGCAGACACAACAGTGAGGCCTCACATTATGTGTGCACACTTCCCAAATTTGAGTCTCATTTACGCTTCGTTTTTCTCGCGCATTTGTTAATTAAGGTGAAGATCATGGATTTACAAGTATACAACAATATCTTGTTGTTTTGAGGAACGTTTTATTCATTATATTTTTTGTTTTTTCTTCGCTTTATATTGTAACATTCTCACGATTTTAAAATGCATATGTTAGAGAGAGTGTGAGATCCCACATCTATTGAGGAGGAAAACGAAACACTCTTTATAAGGGTAGGTGTGGAAACCTCTCGCCCAAAATAGAAAATCCAGAAACGACAATATCAGCTAGCTGTATGTTAGAATCCCTCACCCACAAAAAATAGGAGAGAGAAAATACAACGAAGAATATTGTCTAAAGATTTTATTGATATATATACAGAGAATCGGTATATATATGGTTTCAATTTACCACACCTTTATAAGTAATGCTTTGTTTCCCTCTTAACTGACGTGGGATCTCACAATTCACCCTTGAAGGCCCAGTGAGATTTCCACACTCTTGTATGAAATATTTTGTTTCTCTTCCTAATCGATGTGGGATCTCACAATCCAAACCCACCTCTAACACATATTGTCTACTTTGACCCGTTACGTATTGTCATCAGCCTCATGGTTTGAAAACGCGTCTATTAGGGAGAGATTTTCACATGTCTAAACCCTAGCTCGAGCTCGACTAGTAGGCTAGCATGTCTACGTGTAAATATATATATATATAACAAAACATATATGGCAACTTTATGCAACCATACCCTTATCCATCTTTTTAATATGAAAACATTTATGGCAACTTTTGCACTCAAGAGAGGAGTCCATAAATCATTAAAATTTCATCATTTTTTTTCCCCATTTTCAATCATCATATTCTTAACTTCTCTCTCTCTCTCTCTCTCTCTCTATGAGTTTGATCATAATCCTCCCTTTTTCTTTTGACTTTCACTAAAAGCCTTGACCTTTAATTATGGCTTTTGGAAGATTTTAGTACAAACTTACTAAAAAATACCTTACAAAATCCTAAACATGATCATCATTTTGTTTCTTCACTTTCGTATTCATTACATTATCGATGTTTCGTCTCGATAAAGCAGCCGAGTATTTACCATATTCATGAAATTATTTTTCAAGTGTTTAAAATCATTTTAAAAAAAAGATTTTAAGGACTTGAAAAATAATTTCCAACAAACCCTAAATCATTTTCAATAATTGGGCCAATTGACATTAAGGCCCATGAATTTGATGTGAGTTTAGATGGGCCAGCCTACATGTTCAGGCCCACTTTCTAAACTTTGGATGAGCACAATTCGTTTCAGGTTCTCTCGGATTGCACATTCTGGACGCCATGAAATGATATCAAATCTCAGTTTGGTGTTTGAATTTGATATCAACTCATAACCTTGAAAGCGGCCATCCAAACTGAGTAAAGGAAGTGATGAATGCCTTATGATATGTCTCTAATTGGGTGTGTATCAAATTCAAACGGCCATCCTCTTCGTCATATCTGATTTTTTGAAAAATCCACACCGAAGAGAAGCCTACCCGGGAAGGAGAGGAAAGGGAAAAGGAATAACGAGAAAGGACGTGGAGAAAGAAGAACGGGAAAAGATGAGGACCATATGCAATTCGATCTATAATGGACCACGAAATATTTAAGCTCCCTTTATAAATTCATTATGAATTTTTGCATGTGTCGACTTGTTGAATCATTGCATATCATTTTGAAGACTTAACCAATTAAGGAACTTCAGACATAATCTTATGAGAACTCACTTATTTCCATATGGTAAGCAAATTAGTAGTTCTCATAAATGTTGATTTTGTGACTCTTGGAATTTTTGAAAGGCCCAAACCCGAGTAAAAAGTTGCATATATACCAAGTAAGTTGTACCACGGAACTTCAGATTAAGCTAAGCTTTTAGTATATATAAAAGCATATTATAAAAGCATGTCATGAGGTTTGTCAACTAGCCCCTAATCGTAAACCTGACTTAATAGTCAGGGTTCAAATAACTATAAAACTAGCTTTTAATTTATAACTGTACTTAGTGGGAATTATAAGGGAATTCGTCAATTAATTTTCTCCTAGTGAACCTTCACGAGTGACACAGATAACAGTAGTACCTGTCATGAATGCATGCATTTATGTATATTTTCATATGTTCCGCGTAAAGTTAAAACTAAGTGTTAGATAATTTTGTATAATTTCAATTTATATTATGATTTATACATTATATTATATGAAAGTTGAAGATTTTTTTTCCTCTTATATATAAATATATATATTTTTGTCATAGAAAATAATAAAAAGAGAGATCGGATGCATGTGATCCAATCAACAATGCTAATGATGCAAGCATGTTGGATGTTACAGATACCACATGTGCCACATTCTTTTTTTTATACAATGGAAATTATTTTTATTTCTAAAATTTAAAATAAAATAAAATAAACAATTTGAGAAATTAAAAATAATTTGTTAGAATTTAATGCTAGAATTACAAAAATAGCCTGTGGCTTTAGTTTTAATTTTATTTCATGTATAACCATGAATGATTATGGAATATAATCTTAATAAATTGTTGGGTTATTATATTAATCGACACTAATTGCCAAATTTTATCCGATAATTATTAAATATACTGTTGACCGATATTATTAAAATGAAAGTACATAAAACACATTTCTTTAAATTACAAATTTAACGCTTAATTTTTCACATTTATATTTGATTTTTTATTTTGTGTCTAGGTCCACGTGGATTTGGTTGTTGAAGTAGATGGGATGCATCACCTAGTACACGGGTCGAATTGGGTTGAGTTTGAGAAATTTTTTGGACTAACCCAAAATTTAAGTCGGTTGGGTTGGTGACACAAGAATAAATCTTGTAATCCAACCAAACACTCTATTTTCGGGTTGAATTTAGTTGTCCGATTCTTTTTATAAAATTATTTATAAAAAAAAAAAAAATCATACTTATCTACTGTACAAATGTAAGTAATAACTAAAATTTCATGAAATTTAAATATCAAACATTTACAAGTAACAAAACATCACTAATATTGGAAACAAACGTTAAATATTTTTAATATTCGTAATAATCTTAAAAGTTTGGTTGGGTTGAATTGTAACCTTATTTTAGGTCGGTTGTGTAATAGACGTCAAAAAATTTGAATCGACAGATCTTAATATACAAGGCATTAGAAACTCAATCAAAGTTGGTTACGGGTCGGATTTAACTAAAAATGGGGGCAACAAGTAGTATAAATTTGGAGTAGGGGGGCTGTTGTATAATTTAAAGTGGGAGAGGGACGAATTTGCAAAAAAGGGAAAACGAAGGACAATAATTAAAATAAAAGAAAGAAAAAGAAAAGTAAATAAAAGGGAGTCCACCGACACAATTGTTTATAGAGGGAATAATAATAATATATTTAAAAAGTATTTTTGTTATATTCC